GGACGAAGCTCACTCTCAATGCCAGCTGCTTGGGCACTTCCTGGCTTCCTTTGATTATCCACTTTTGTCTCTGGAGTGGTCACTCCAGCAGACCAATACGGGGAGTGGCAGTTTCCCGGTCATAATATCTCCGCTAAGTGGACCTAGGAGCGGGGTACCTTGAGCTTCCTCACGACGGTGAAGTCTTCGCATCTCACGGAACATCTCCCATACACCCAAACTGGGTAACCCTCAGCCAATACGATGTTGTCCTGTCCACGTTCTGCTTGTCTCATTGGGCGCATGAACCAAAGGACCGATCTCGAAAAGCGAACCTTCAATCAACGCACCAGCGAACAGCATACTGAATCGAAACTCAAAGGCCCTGGGTGACGAGTCGACAGAAGCTCCCACACAGATACTTCGGTCATGCTCCCGTGTTCGATCTACGCTCCACTGCCTTGTAGCTCAGATTTTTGAGTCGAAGGCTCCGGTTAGGATTTATCAAGAAAAACCCACAAATTCCCGTTGCCTTGCGGATCATACTTTTGAGTTGAAGGCTCCAGTTAGGGTTCCTAAAGAACTAACTCCTTGCCAGTGTGGGTTCAAGCGAAGTGTGGCCCAAAATCTTAGGTAACCATTTTGAAGATCCTCCTTCTCATCTGTCCAGCTTCTCATCTCACTCTTCAAACTTAGGAGATGCATGCTGTTTGCGCTCACCATGAGATATCGCTCAGCGCTCAACTACTAAAATCAACCACTCAGAAGCTATCAACAAGCAGTGTGATTTGTGACAAATATGCGTGTGGCACCTGCTCTCACCTGGTGGTGATCGGAGGGTTTGCGTTAGGAGGTAGCGCGCATTGAATCTGCGGTGTGAAGAGTGTGACCACCCAACCATTGAACGTACTGTGTGTTGCTTTCCCACAGAAATGATTCTTCCATCTTCCATCTATTGTTTCAAACTGTCTGCTTTTTTGAAGGAGAGATCAATCCATGTTCTGTTCGTACGCACGATACTACCAAGTTTTCTAAATCAAAACAAATGAATGTTCTTGAGGATTCACAACTGGAGCCAAAGTCTGACTCATACGACCATCAGGTGATGAGCGTTTTCCACCTAGCTTTGAAGAACTAGCTGTTTATTGCTGATTAGCTCTGTTCTGTAGCCTGGAATATTGGCTTTGCATCTTCCCACTTTAGTGAACGGCCCCTCAAAAAAAAATGGACTCACACAAACCTAAGATAGATTTACCTGAGGAAAGGCAAGTAAATTGTTATTGGTGTTGACGAAATGCACATTGGGTTCACCTGTTTCGTGAATTCCGAAATTTTCATACAAATGCTAGATGGCCATGTTCCCGGAAAAAGTCACCTAACTATTCCAATTACAAGCAATACACTTGACAATATGAATCAGACTTCGTTGGATGGAATCTCTTCTTTCACGTTTGGTTAAGAATTTGTCATGTGAACGTAGAGCATCAATAAGCATACTTTCGGTCCTTCTTCCAATTACTGGTTACGGTGCAGTGTGCACTTCATTGTCTGGGGTAAACGGAAGGACTTACAAATCAACCATGGTCGACAATGTCGTGTGATCAATGTGAGGTGTCTGCAAGTTAGTTATGACGTTTCCGATGATTTGTTCACTGCGAATAATTGCATAATGGATGGAGTCCCAATTTATTTATGATTATTTGAAAGTGTAACCATAATCATGGGTCCCAAATACTTGTATTAGCAGCAAATAAAGATTGATTCGTACGTGGAATTATGTTGACCGAAGTTATTCAACTTTCAATCGACGTTTTGTCGTTTATGGTAGAGCTAAGACAAGGATGTGTAATGAAACCAAAGAAAACGTGTCAACTTTTCGCATAGACTGCGCCGATCCGGCGGAATGAGCGAACGATTGGAGCAGTGAAAGTTCACGGTCAGACTTTCATGCGTAATGGACTGCCAGAAACAATCACACTGCCTTCGACGCGCTATCTGTGCTGTGCTAACTGTATTACGCTGTCTGGTACCACGTGTTTGACTTAAATGAATGTGACCATTTAAAGCAAGATAACCGCTTAAAGTTGGTTTCACTATTCCGTTATGAAATGTGGATCATTTTCCTTTATTTTAACGTGTTACATGTTGCTACCTGGTGCGTTATGCTCGTTCTGTTTTCTTCTGAATGATATATGATTTGTTGGGTGTCCATTTACTTTAGGTTCGTTACTTTATATACTTATAATGTATGTTCAATAGATGGTTTGGTTATTACTGCATTCCAATATGAAACGATTTGCTATTTTACATTCTTTCGTTCTGCGAATCTATATGGTTTACGGCGTATCTATCTTGAGGGTTCGTGGTTGGATTCCAGGGCGGTACTCTCCACTTACTCATACTGAGATTCAGTCTATCGAGACAGCTATCCAGGGATTTCGGCCGACCAATACGCATGGAATTCCTCAGCAGATAGAAAGCATAGTGTTTATTTTACAGAGAACCATTTTCTATCAGTTCCAGAGGTCATCACTGTAGCACCGGTATTTGCTTCGTGTTGGGTCATAGAGGAATATTTGCCACAATCATCCCTCTACAATGGAGACACGATGTTGAGCGCGATTGCTGCCTATTTATTCCCACTTTTTTCGATAAAACATTTGAGTATCTCAGATAAATGCCAGGGCCTCTGAAAGCCTGAGTATGATCCGGACTGGGTGTTTCGGTCTGTGGCCAGTCATCCGTCTGTTGCTCCTCGTGAAATACTCCCATACGGCCCAGCGTCTCAAATAGCCTC